TCTATGCACTCTGCAGTGTAGTACATAACCCCTCAACGTGTCCAATTTCTTCTTGCAGAAGACGCAGGTGATCATTTTATGATTCTGAGTGTTTGTGGTGCTGAAAAGCACAGGCTAAGTTATCACAAAATAATCTGGACTAAAATATCAACTACTAGCATATACCTTGTGTTTATCTGTAGAGATTTTCGCTTGCTCAAAAAAGGAAGAAAGAAAAAGAAGGACGTTTGAATCTTACCGTGTAAACTCTTGATTTTCTGGTTGAAATGAACAGCCAAAGATCCTCAAAATATATGTTTAATCGTAAAATATTCCTCTTTAAACGGCCAAAATGATCCAAAGTTTGCTTCGCTCCTGTAGTCTCTGCTCCGAAGACCGCGTAGCTCTGGCCAGCTGGTTAACGAGGCCAACAGCTTCACCTGCTATCCAATCAGGGATGAGCATTTCGAACTTCAAAATGGTCTCTGCTGCGTCCAAAAATAAAGCTAAAAAAGAGGAATCCTCCTGCCCAAAGACCGTCGACCGCCCAAATATCCCGCCAGAACCTGCTCAAATCAACTGACAAGGTTGAACTGTTTGATCAGGTGTCGGTGCGTTCAGGGAGTGTCGGCTTTCTGCAATAACTGAATTTTTTCAGAACTTAAACTAAAATCTTTAATGTCAGATTTACAAATATTTTTTTCAGAGGACATTTTTATTACATCTGTGGCAAACATAATTTGTCCTTAAGAAGAAAGTATATACATCATAATATTCTGGACTATAAGACACTTTTTTCATAGTTTGGCTGGTCCTACAACTTATTACTCTGCTGCAACTTATACCTCAAAATATACTTCAACATGAATTTAAACATTAATTCATAAGGCCTGACATGAACCAAGAAATAAAGATGATCATCTCCAAACACAGAAGGTGCTGTAGGTTTTGATAACTAAATGCTGCTCTGAGAGGAAAATCCAAAAATGGATGTCCACAAGGACAGTTCATTTTGGGCATCTGGCTACACTGCCTGTGCAGTGCAATAAATCCTCAAAAACATGTTTATACTTCTTATTTACAAAGTTTATAATTATTTATAGGCATTAATTTTGTGAAATAAATTTTCAAATAAATATAACGTACTTCAGAACTATATCCTGGAAAATATGGGAAGGTGGAATTACATGAAATACCAAGCAAGCATGAGCTCAGTCATTAAAATCATTAAAAATACAACTTATTACAAAAGTCTTTTAAAAACATGTGAATTAGTTTGAAAAATATTTGTGTAAATGTAGCTGGTCATTATAGAGCTCTATGTAATAATGGCATGAAACAACATTTTTACAACATTTGCATGTAAAATTAACAAAATTGTTTTGACATGAGTATTACACTATTTCTTTGTTTAAATTATCAACATTTTTAGCTTTAACAAATAAATTTGATTATTATCACACAATGTTGCTGTAAATATCACAAAAATCTTCTGTTTAATAGTTTACAAAGGTTCACTGTGATTTAAACAAAAAATATGTGTTTTGGGGTTTACAAACCTATTCTGTCGGTATTTTACATAGCTTT